TTTTATTTATTAAATTTTATGTATTTTCAATTCTCTCTAACATTCTTACAATTTCATTTATTGTTATTAATCTTTTGTTTAATTCTTGTTGCCATGACTTTTCAATAATTTCTTTAATATCTTCTTGAACTTCTTTTATTATATTTGTTCGTTTACCTGTTGTGATTGTATCTGCAATATCCCATGGATGTGGATATAATGTTTTAGGAAATGGATCTTGCCATGTAATGATTTGTAACATTGTTATTGAAAATGAATATATATCTGATCGCATTTTATAATGTTGACGATTTAATACTTCTGGTGCCATGTATTTTGGTGTTTCTATCCCTTTTGTAAATGTCATATTTGTCATCATCATATTGATGTTTCTTGCACTTCCAAAATATGTTAATTTACAATTACTTCAATGTTATCATCAAGTGTTACAATATGGAAATTATCTGGTTTAATATCTCGATGTAATATTCAATTTGAATGAAGATATGATATTCATTTTGCTCCATCTATCATAAATTTGATTCTTATTTTCTTTGATATTTCTGTAATTTTTCTTTTATTCATTATATTTTGTATTGATCCATATTCTGCAAATTCCGTTACCATACATATTTTATTAGGAATAAATACTCCTCCATAAAATTGAATGATATATTCATCTTGAAATTTATCTAACATTGCTACTTCTTTCTCAAATTCTTTCTTTTTATCTTCACTTTCTTCAACTTGTTTCATTTTCTTAATTGCTACTTTATTTCCTCTAAATTCTCCAACATAAACAATTCCAAATATTCCTTCTCCTATTTTCTTTTCTTCTTTTATTTCATCAGGATCAAGTTGTGTTGATATTTCTGTTTCTCCTTCAATAGAAATACTTTTGATTGTTTCTTCTTGTGCTTTATTAAGTGTTTTACTAATTATCATTATTTTATCGTTGATTTTAGTTATACATTTGATTGTAATGAATAACTCAAATTCATATGCATATCCTCCTTCAATTATAATGATATTTGGGTTTGTTCTAATTGAATATTTCTCATTGTCTTCTTTACTACTTATTTTTATCTTCATCTTCTCTTTCTTTGAATTTCCAATACAAATCATTTATGTTTTATTGAAGTAAAAATCATTTGTATTTATTGAATTAATTTAATTAATTATATTATCATTTCAGTTTTATTAATACAGAATGAACATGTTGACTTTCAACAAACAAATTTATTTATTGTCTTTAATTTAGTTTATTTCATCCATTGTCGTTTTATAAAAACTATACCCAAATAAGATTCATTTTGTTGAATGAATTATATCACTTTATAAATTATTCAATTATAAACAAAATATCAATTATAGACTATAAGTATTTAATTTATCAACTAAATAAATTTTGTAATATAACAATAATATGAATTTAATAATATAACTATAGTCAAATTTAAAAATAAGATAAATGATAATAGAATTATAACACAAAAATATTAATAATATTCAATTTATTCAACAACTATAATTAAAATAAAAGATATGATAATTTTTAAATAATTAATGAACAAAAAAATATTAATTAAAATAAAAGAGATAATATGTTGCCTTATTACATAACAAGAAAAGAATTAGAATAATTATATTAATTAAAATAAATAACAATGTTACAAAAAGGTGATTCAATAATAATTATGAAAGGTATTAGAAAGAATAAATTAAATATTGAAATTAAGTTAATTCAATAATATATAACGAGACTATATAAAAGCTAAATGGTTATGAAATGAAATTATATAAAATATTGTTGTATTAAATAAAAATAATGAGAAATAGAAACCAAAAGATTCGTTTAATATGTTAATATAAAAATTATTTAAAATTCATAATCCATTCCTTTTACTATTGATATAAATAGTTTTTCCAATGTCGTTAGTATATTATTTTATTATTTCAGTTGAAATAAATGAAATATAATTTGATTTGAATAACCAATGAAATAAATTTTGGTGATAAACCTAATTATTATATATTCTATATATTTATTTTGTTTTATTTCTTTCTTTTTATCAGATTTTAGTTATTTATTAAATAGCTTTTAGTATGTACTTTCAAATAAACATACAAACTAATTAAAAATAACAAAGAATTGTGGTGATTTGATAAAATAATACCATTCTTTTTGATATTGAATAAAAGTATTAAAATTTGATAAAACAACTTCATATTATTTAAATAATGAAATTTATTAACGAGACGATATTTTATTATTTACATTTTTAGACTAACATTGACTAGGTTCTACATCTCCTACGATAAATAAAAACAGATTAAATTATTTGTTCATTTAATTTATATTTGAAGCTTTTTAATCAAAAAATATAATTATTCAAATCATTACAATATGCAATCTGTTCATTTCACTGTAATAAATTATTAAACCTATTTACATAAGAAAAGAAACAAATGAAACAAATGATGAACAATTTATATTTGAAAAGATGATACTTAAAATAATACTGAATTTATTTGTTGTACTTGAAATAGCAAAAGATTGTTTATTATAAAATTTTAATAATCTGTTGTAAAAGGGTGTGTGTTTTCTAAAAGGTATGTTCTTAATCAATTTTATAACGTAATATTGTTACAACCATTTTTTATTTTAAATAAACTTCAATAGTTTCATGATCTGATGAATTTATTTATATTAGTTTAACCTTTTTTTTATATTTCTTGTTTCCATTACTTCTTTTCATGAACTTTATTTGTCTCTTTTGCTTCTTTTTCTTCTGTTTTTATTAGAAGTAACAAATCACTTCGACGGAATAATGAGCTTCTCTTAAATTGTTTATTATCCCCAATTTATTTATACTATCATATTTGCTCTTTCTTTCTCTTCAATTCTTAAATAAACCTATCTTGACTGTTTTTTTTTCTTATTGCTACTGTTCATTTCTTCTTTATTTTAACACTTCACTCTTTCTACTGAAATACTTTCCTCCTTTATAATCTTTTATTATTTTAATATTCCATTTCCAGAATTTTGACATCCTGCATTAACATCAATAATTCCCCTACTTAGTACAAATACTTTATACCATATGACTCATTTATATTTCTTACAACTTTACCTTTATTTAATGTTTTTACTTCAAATGAAATCGGTTTTATATACTAAAAACATATTATTTGTTATCCTTACCTTATTACATTCATAAACATAAAGTTAACTTTTATTATTAAAACTCTCTATCGAATATGATTAAAGGTGTGGTAAAGTCGTCTGATATACTTTCTATTATTTCTTGCATTTAATCACTTAACTATTCACATATTTATTTATTCTTCTTTTTGATTATCCCGTTTATGGACAAAAATATTCCCATCCTATGCCTTTTAAATTGAACTACTCTACCATTCTCATCATTACTTTTCAGGCTCTAGCGTTTAATTGCTATACTCCACCATAATCAAACAATTTCATTTTAACTAGTGATATAATAAATTAATTCAAGTCTACTAACCATTTTCTCTTTTTATTTCTTTATCCTCACTGAACCACATTTTTGTTTACTTCAAACCTTAACAAGAGTGTGTTGTTTTGTGAAGAAAGAAGGAGCATGAAAAAGAATTAAAAGAGGAAAAATAGTAAAATGAACCAAAAAAAAAACTAAATGAATAGTCAAAGCAAAACCGAAGAGAAGAAAAAAAAGAAAAAAAGAAATCGAACTAAGTAACTGAAACTAAAATTCAGTTTAAGTTATCGAAAAGAATATGTCGGAAGTTGATCATTACCTTGAAACATTGTTTGCTGGAAAGTTAATAACAGAAGCAGAAGTAAAAGATCTTTGTGAAAAGGTTATTGAAATTTTAGATAAAGAGCCAAATATACAAAAGTTACAAAGTCCAGTAACTATTTGTGGGGATGTACATGGACAATATTATGATTTAAGAAAGTTATTTGAAACAGGAGGAGAAGTTCCAGCTACAAAATATTTATTTATGGGAGATTATGTTGATCGAGGATATCATTGTTTAGAAACGGTATTGTTACTTTTGGCATTAAAAGTGAAATTTCCAGAACGAATAATTCTCTTACGAGGAAATCATGAAAGTAGACAAATTACTCAAGTATATGGATTTTATGATGAATCAATCAGAAAATATAAATCATTTAATGTATGGAAATATTGTACTGAGGCATTTGATTATTTAGGATTAGCAGCTATTATTGACCAAAAAATATTTTGTATTCACGGAGGTATTTCACCTTTTGTCAATAGTCTTGATGATATTACTAAAATGGAAAGGAGACAAGAAATACCTCACGAAGGAGCAATGTGTGATTTGTTATGGTCTGACCCTGATCCAGCTACAAATGATTGGAAATCAAGTCCTCGTGGAGCTGGTCATGTTTTTGGAGAAAATAATGTTGTGAAATTTAATCATGCAAATAATATAGATTTAATTTGTAGAGCTCACCAATTAGTTAATGAAGGATATAAATGGTGTTTTGATAAAAAATTAGTTACTGTTTGGTCTGCACCAAATTATTGTTATCGTTGTACAAATGATGCTGCTATCTTTGTTATTAAAGGAGAGAATAAGCAATTCTTAACTTTTAGTGCCTCTTCTGATCCAAATAGAGCTGCTGTACCAAATATTCCATTACCCGAAGCATATCTTTAAAACTAACAAGATAGAATCTCAACCTTATTTTTTTATTAAATTTATTAGTTTTTTTTATTATTAAATATAACTTTAAAATAAAGAAAAATAAAAGAAACTTTAAAAAATTTAATGGGAAAAGTACACGGAGGATTAACTCGTGCAGGTAAAGTTAGAAATCAAACTAAAAAAGTTGAACAAGAACAAACAGGTAGAAAGAAACATCCAAGTGGAAGAGCAAATTTAAGAGAAAAGTATAATAAACGACAAGAATTATTAAATGGAGAAACAAAAAAGTATAAGTTTAATGCTCAATCTTAATTTAAACAATTTGTATTTTATTTTTGTTTTAAAATGAAGAGAATAAGTTAAATTAAAAAAAATAATAATCATAGAATTAAATAACAACATTATAATATTATTATTATTAAATATTTTTTATTCTGCTTCTTCTTCATTATCATCTTCATCTTCTACAGCTTTTAAAGATTCATCAACTATTTCTCTTACTCTTCTATTATATTCTCTTTTATTTCTAACAAATAACTCAGCAGCTTCACCATTTGCTGGTGAACTAGGATTTGGTTCATTAAGAAGTAATTGGATTGATGATAAAATAGCAATGACATCATATGTTGGTGACCATTGAGATGATAAAATATCTAAACAAATATTTCCATTAGGATACACTAAAATGTGAGAATAATTTAATTTACTTTTCTTTTATTAACAAGTTTTATTCTTTCAATCATACAATTACCACATTTATTATTGTGTCTTTTCTTTATATATTGATTAGGAAGGAATAAGTGTTAGTCTTAAAGGACTATTTGTTTATCACATGAGGTATTTGCTGACGTGTGTATTTATTTCTGATTGAATAGAAATCAACAACAAAAAGATATATAAAACAAACCATTTGGATGGAACATTTTTGATATAAAGACAACTTTTGGAGGTTTAATAGGATATTCTTCAGTAAATGTCATTGAAAGTTGAAAAATACCACTTTCCCAAATTGTGTCATCTGGACCAAATATAACACATGTCCATTTCATAATATCATCTTCATCAGGACAAGCACTAATTCCTTCAGGGGGACTCTGTGATAACTTTTTGAGATCTATTAACAATCTTTTTCGGGCATTAGCTTCACTCATCTTGTGATGACTGTTTTTTGAAGTTTCTTTATTGAAGAAAAATCTTTATCTTCTTTTTGGGAAGAATTGTCTATTTCCTAGGACAAATTCCCGATCTTTTAGTCTTTTCTGTTGAAGGGTTGAGATTTTCCTTTTAAAAAAAAAATAGGAAATTAATGAGAACTATAACTAAATATTATTAATAGTTAAAAAAAAAATAAAATTTTGAAATACTTCAAGCCATTCTTCTCTTTTTATATTCATCATCTTTTTGATGTTTTATTAATAAAAAGATCTTTTCATATATTAGAAGTTCATTTCAAAAGACAAAAGAAAAAGATTCAATTTTTGAAAAATTTAAAAAATTCTAGTAAAAATTTCATTTTGTTGATGATAGCAAAAACATTTGAATGGGGAGTGTTTTATAAGATAGATGTTGATTCTTTTAGTCATGATTATAAGAGTATAGAAAAGACTAAATCAAAACGAAAAGGAGGGACAATTTCTGGAATATCAAGAAGATTAGATTATTTAAAACAATTAAATATTACTAGTGTTGTTTTATCTGACTTTCCTTCTTATTCTCATATTGACTTAATAACTTCTCAATTACACAATCTTAATATCTCACTTTTCCTTTCAATTAATAAAAATACATTAATCACACATTCTCTCTTACAAACCCCAATTGATGGATTTTTTATTAAACATCCTCTTCAAGCAAAATCATTTGTACAGAAATTAAAACAGTCTTTTCAACAAGAAAAGAAACCGTTATTAATTGCTGATGAAAATTTACATTCTTCTAAAGAACATTTTCAAGAGAATGTATTTCTAAAAGCATTAAAATATATTCACGACCATGGTTTTTCTTATTTAACCCAAGAAGTAACACAATTATATCTTTCATTCTTTTATGATGGAATTGTTGATTATTCAGGAAATTTGATTTGTCGTGACTATGCAAAGGAAAAAGGAATTTATAAGTTTCTTCCAGAGTTTTTAGTAGGTCTCCATTATAATTTCCATACATTACTCTATCCATCCAATACAGTTCTTATTACTCCAGTGTTTAGAGATGAAAAGGCAAAAGATGCAACAACTCTTATAGCTCGTTATAGTAGTCCAATTATGATAGAAATGGGAATTGAATTACATCAAACAAAAGAAAAAGAACCTTTACGTTGGTCTTGGGCAGAAAATAAAGAAAAATCAAAAGAAGCATTTTATTACAACATGAAATTGTTTCAAACAAGAAAAGATACTAAAGTTGGTGTTCCTACTATTTTCACACAGAAAGAGGAGTTTATTATTGATTAAAATACTATTTAATTAAGTATTTATTTGATTGAAGATTTTTATGAATAAATAAATGAAAAAGATGAAAGAATTTATTATTATTTGTATTGTAAATAGACAAAAGTTAATTGAAAGAGAAAACAGACTATTAAACTATTTTTCAATTCATTTGGAATATTTTCATTTTCTTTGTTTCTATTAAAAATACTTGATTTAGAAGGATAAAATTGCATTTGATATTAATTGAAAGATATTCTATTATTATTGATGTTTTTTTTTTGATATTACTAATTGAATTATAACATTTGATGAGTTTGTAGATGTATTATTCATTTAACATAAGGCATAGAGTATATTGTATAAAAATGGAATTTAGTTGTTCAATCTAAGACAATAATAAATATTTGTCTGTTTTTAACAGTGTGTTGAATGAAACTTTTAGATAAGAAGATGATATGGAAGATTAATTACTTAGATATCTTTTTGGTAATTCTTTTTGAAGTAAGAAGTGGTTTCAACATTCATTTTATTGTTGATGCTTTTTATTGTAAATATAGACAAGACAAAGTAGAATAAAGAATTGTTATTCATTTTCACTCATCAGAGTGGTGGTAATATTTGTTTATTACCATTTTATTACTATTTTACATATGTATTGACAGTTATTCAACTATCAAATTCAATTAACTTTAACTTTATTATTCTAACAGAACAGGAGGTTGATTGTTAAGTAGTTTTTGAAAAGTTCAAGAGATGATGTAATAGAGATATAAATAAAGTTGAAATAACACAAAGAAAAAAAGAAAAAAGAATTATTTCAATAAAAAAGAACTATAAAAAGAACTATAAAAGAAAATAAAAAGAAATTGAAAATAAATGAGCAATTATTATAATAAAGAAGAAGCTGAAATGGTTAAACAAAATGTTCAACAAACAACAGAAGAGTCATATAAAGCAGTACAAAGAAATGGAGAAGTAGTTAATTCATTAGAAGTTACCGCATCAGATCAAAGAGAGCAAGCACATGAAATGAAAGTATCATCAAGTGAAGTTAAATTTACCATGAAAAAACGAACAAAGATGATAATAATAGGATCAATAATTGGAGGGATTATATTAGCTATAGTTATAATAATATTAATAATTGTTATTATTGTAGTTGCTTAATAATTAAATGTTTATTAAAGAATAAATTAAAAAGTTTAATTTAAATGTAAAGAAAGAAAAGAATAAAGAAATAATTAATATGTTATTATTGCATTACAATTTGTTAATGCATCAGGTGCAATACTTATATTTTTCTTTAATTTTATTCTTTTCATTTTATTACATCCTATAAAACATTCTGTTGGTATTTCTTTAACATTTTGTGGTATTTCTATTTCAATTAAATTTTCACAAAATCCAAAACATGACTTTTTTATAATTTTTAATGTTGATGGAAGTTGAATTGATGTTAATGATGTACATCTATAAAAACTATATTTTCCTAATTTTGTAATTCCTTCTGGAATTTGAATTGATTTTAACGTATAGTTACAATTAAAACATCCACTTTCTATTATATTAACTTCTTTTGGAATAGTAATATTATTAGTAGTAGTTGTAATTGAATTTAATAAATCTTCTTTTCCATAATAAATGTTATTACATTGCACTGAATGTAGTTTAAGGATTTTTGAAATTGAATATGGAATTTTACCATATATTGTTGGTCCATTACAAATTATATTAATCTCTTTCTTTGGAATCATTGTTAATTCACACATTGAATTAAATGGTGATAATTTTATTGTTTGTAATGAAACACATCCTTTAAATGTTCCTTCTTTAATAGTATTCCATCCATATCCAAAATCAATTAATGTTAAATTACTACATCCATAAAATAATTCTTTTCCTAATTTTCTAATACAATTTGGTAATGTTATTTGATGTAGTTGTGTATTTTCATTAAATGTTTTTCTTCCTAATTTTGTTACACTTGAAAGAATATTAAAATTTGTTATTGAAGGAGGAAATTTAATTTTTAAATCAGTTATATGAAGTTTTTTCATTGTTTCTTTATTATTTAAAGAATCTAATAAACTAAATTGATTTACAACTATTCTTAAATATCTTTTTGAATAATCATTTAAATCAATCTCTGTTAAATTAATAGGATAACAGTATGTTGTATTTGAATAAGTATTATCTCTTTCTTCTTCAGGAGAATATAAATATTGTGTTTCAATATAATGAAACAATTTCTTACTTTGGTTGTTTAATGGAATTGGATTAAATCTAAATTTGTCTAATAACTCTTTATTCTTTCTACATACAAGAACAATATTCATTAATTCATTAGAATTATTTAGATATTTTGCTACAATCATCATAGAATATGAGTCTAGTTGTTTCATATTTATGTTTTAAATTTATTAATTATTAGTTTTTTAAGTTGATTCTATTTTTATAAAATGGTTTTATAGTATTGTTATATGTTATAAACTACATTGCATACTTTGACTGTAAGCAATATGCTAAGTTTATTTGTTGGTTCTTTTCCTGTTTTTAGAGATAGACTTTGTTGGTATTTAAATATTCATAAATTAAATAGAATATAAGAATTATCTTGATATAAACAAATACTTTCTCTTTTTTTCTTAATTTAATTCTTTTGAACTTATTAACCATTATGTTCAATAGAGATTATCCAACAAAATAATATATGTAGTATTATTTTCATTCATGTTTTATAATGACTAACTAGTTGTATTATAAAGAAAAGGGCAATTAATAATTATATTTTTTGATGTATTAAAAAATAAAGTTAAAGTTGTGTATTTGGATAAAAATCAAAGACATTCGATTAAATATATATTCATATATTTTAAATGATTAGTTATTTTATATGTTTATATTGTGTTAAATCTGAGTATAATATATATAGTTTATTGATAATTTATGTTCTTCTTAATGAAATTGATTCAAATGAATGATAAAATGAGAGTCATTTTATATGAATAACTTTGTATTATATGATTAAGAAATTAATAACTTATTAAAGCTAATGCATCTGTTAATGACATAATTTGTGTGAATTATGTAAATAATTAATTATTATTTTAGACTTACACACATCTGATAATATTTTATAGAAATTATTAAAATAATATATATTTATATTAAATTTCTAATCCAAATATTTATGTTTTGAATTTAATAATAACACTATTCATAAAAATTGTTAAATGATATAGCAATAACATTATTTGATATTTACACGATGTATTTATGTATTTATGTTAATAACTAAATCTATTGACTAATTAATGTTTTCTTCCGATAAAAATAATCAATGTTATTTTTAATGGTATATCATTAAATTGACTTTTCAATATAGGTGTTAGTATCGAGTGTTTGTTTAATCGTAATACTATAAAATGGTATAACTGATAAAAGATTATTAAATAAATAATTTATATTGGAATGTAATTTTTATTATTTTAATAAGAAGTTTTATTGTGAAATAAATTTATAATAAATATATATGATGAATAAATAGTTAAATGATATTTAATAAATTTCTATTTAATTTACTTTGATTTTAATAATTAAAAACATGAAAGATAAAATATCACAATAATAATTCTTACCAATTGTTATAATTTGAAATATAGTTGAAAGAATTTAAATAATTTATACTGGTATTACAATGAGTATATGAAGAAATGCATTCAGTCATTACAATGAAATTTACTAATTTTTAAAAACTAATAATTCAATTGTATAAATATAGCATTAATGTTTTAAATTTATAAATACATAATATTTCATTAACAATAAAACCTGGCAACGAAAAAAAGCAAATAATTGAAAAAGAAGATAAAGAAAGATATAAAAGAATAAAAAGAAAGTAAGAAGTTTGATATGATGAAGAAAGAATAAAAGTAGAAAGGAGAGAAGATAAAGAGTAATAAAACAAAAGAGATGATAAAAGAAGAAAAGAAAGAAAAAAATAAAGGATGCAAATTTTATTTCAACAAATAAAAAAAGTGCAAAATTTAATGATGCAAAATAATTTGAAATAAAAATAAATCATCATTTGATATTATTATATTTGATAATAAATTATATTATATATTAAATACATCATATTTCTTTATTATTTATCTTTCTTTTCTTTTTATTATTTCATATATTCCATTATTATTCGTTCATTTATTATTTATTATTTATATTTCATTTATTAAATAAAATGAAAATGAAATTATAAAATAATCAATTAATTAAATATGGGTACGAAAATTAGCAAAGAAAAAATGCATCTAAATAATTTACAAAAAAAGAAAAAAGAAGCAAAATATTTTGCATCCATAGAATTTTCCATTTATTATATTTTGCTCCTAAATAAAAATAAAAAATAAAAAGTATGATAAATATACAATCTGTATATATTTATGTTTATATTTTATATTCATTTATATTTAATTTGTATGAAATATTAATGAAATAGATGATTTGATTATTCATATTTATTTTTATTCTTTTCTTTATATGTTATTTATCTATCTTATTTTTATATATTTATTTCTCTGTTTATATTATTTATATCATTGTATTCTTCTTATTATCTCTATATTATTATATTATTATTTTAATTTTTTCTATTTATAATATTTAGAATTTCTTATTGTTATTCTTTTATATTTAGTTGTATTTGTTTATTTGTTTATTCATCTTATTCATCTTTTATATTATTATCATTTATATCTATTTTCGATTTATATTTATTCTGTTTTTATTTATATTTATATTGAT